AAGGGGACCGTGGCAGTTGCAACGTTTCATATAATTTTATATATGCAATGTTTTACGCAGGCAACATATATATTTATATTTTATAATTTCATTTTAAAAATTAAATCGGCCGGGCGCGGTGGATCACGCCTGTAATCCCAGCACTTTGGGAGTTCTAGGCGGGCGGATCAACTGAGGTCAGGAGTTCCAGACCAGCCTGACCAATACGGCCAACATGAGCTGAAGATAGGGAAGGTCAGGGAGGTGAGTGGGATAAGTGCAAAGTCAGATTCTGTCTTTTTTTACAATTTTGATATTTTGTTCCCTCACGCTGGGATTACAGGCGTGAGCCACCGCGCCTGGCCTGATTTTTGTTTTTAAAAAGTATTGCAGGCTGGGTAATCCCAGCACATTAAGATGCCGAGGAGAGCAGATCATGAGGTCAGGAGTTCGAGACCAGCCTGACCAACATGGTGAAACCCCATCTCTACTAGAAGCACAAAAATTAGCTGGGCATGGTGGCGCGTGCCTGTAATCCCAGCTACTCAGGAGGCTGAGGCAGGAGAATGGATTGAACCCAGGAGGTGGAGATTCCAGTGAGCTGAGATCATGCCACTGCACATGGCATGGTGACAGAGAGAGACTCCATCTCAACACAAAAGGCCGGGCACAGTGGCTCACGCCTGTAATCCCAGCACTCTGGGAGGCCGAGGCGGGCGGATCACCTGAGGCCAGGAGTTCAAGACCAGCCTAACCAACATGGAGAAACTAAAATACAAAATCAGTCGGGCATGGTGACACATGCCTGTAATACCAGCTACTCTGGGGGCTGAGGCAGGAGAATGGCTTGAACTTGGGAGGCAGAGGTTGCAGTAAGCTGAGATTGCAGTGAGCCGAGATCGTGCCAGAGTGAAACTCTGTCTTTAACAAAAAAAAAAAAGAATGGGGTGTGTTGTGTACACCTGTAATCCCGGCTACTCCGGAGGCCGAGGCAGGAGGATCACTTGAGCCCAGGAGTTCCTGGCTGCAGTGAGCCAGACTTGCACAATTGCATTCCAGCCTAGGCAACAGAGTGAGACCCCATCTCAAATAAATAAATAAAATAAGAGCTGGGCACAGTGGCTCATGCCTGTAACCCCAGCACTTTGGGAGGCTGAGGCAGGTGGATCATCTGGGGTCAGGAGTTCAAGACCAACCTGGCCAACACGGTGAAACCCCGTCTCTATTAAAAATACAAAAATTACCAGGGCATGGTGGCGCACGCCTGTAATCCCAGGTAATCGGGAGGCTGAGGCAGTAGAATCGCTTGAACCTGGGAGACAGAGGTTGCAGTGAGCTGAGATTGCACCACGGCACTCCAGCCTGGGAGACAGAGCGAGAATCTGTCTCAAAAATAAAATAAATGAAATAAAATAAGGCGAGCAAAGCAGGGCCTCAGAGAATTTGTGTCCAAGTCCTTCCTCTGTGTGTCCCCCATGCCAGCCATGACAACCTCCTCTCCAAGAGGCCGGGCCTTTGTCAGCTTTTTCCTCCACCTGGGCTGCTGTCTTCCTCTGGTTTTCACCAGGAAAATCCTACTTCTCTGTCAACACTGACTTGGCCTTGTTTTCTCCCAGACCAACTGCCTGGACTCCCATGGTCCCCCACCCTACAGCCTTCTCTTTCTAGACCCCAAGCCCTCCTGTGCCTCCCTTTTCCAGTCCTGGCTCCAGGCATCTTGGAATATCTGGAGTATCTTGGAATATCCGCAAGAGACTCTGAACTCTGTGCCTTTGAGCTCAGAAAATGAGCTCCAGCCGGGCCAGGAGCAGTGGTGGTTCACGCCTGTAATCCCCAGCACTTTGGGAGGCCAAGGCGGGCGCATCACCTGAGGTCAGGAATTCAAGACCAGCCTGGCCAACATGGTGAAACCCCATCTCTACTAAAAATATAAAAATTAGTCAGGCGTGGTGGCGCATGCCTGTAGTCCCAGCTACTCAGAAGGCTGAGGCAGGAGAATCGCTTGAACTTGGGAGGTGGAAGTTGCAGTGAGCCGAGATCGTGCCATTGCACTCCAGCCTGGGCAACAAGAATGAGACTCGATCTCAAAAAAAAAAAAAAAAAGAAAATGAGCTCCAGTCTCAGTTTCTTTCTCTGTAAGATGGGAGCAGTCACACTAAGGCTTCATCAGAGACATTGAAGGATCAAATTCCCACAATCAGGTAAGCGTTCAGGAAATGTGCGCTATTATCTTTGGGCCTGGTGCCAGAGATCACCTCTGTAATCCCAGCACTTTGGGAGGCCGAGGCAGGAGGATTGCTTGAGCCCAGGAGTTTGAGACCACCCTGGGCAACATACGGACACCCCATCTCTACAAAAATTTTAAAAGTTAGCAGACCATGGTGGTGCACACCTGTAGTCCCAGCTACGTGAGAGGCTGAGATGGGAGGATCACTTGAGCCCGGGAGTTTGAGGCTGCAGTGAGCTATGATCATGTTACTGCACTCCAGCCTGGGCAACAGAGCGAGATCCTGCATCTAAAAATAAAATAAAGTAAAAGATGAGATCAATAACAGCGTCACCGAGATCATCTTGGAGCCTGAGGTGAGAGGAATAATCGATATGTGTAATCCTGTCATAATTTTCTTTCTTTCTTTCTTTCTTTCTTTTTGAGACAGAATCTCGATCTGTCACCCAGGCTGGAGAGCAGTGGCACGATCTCAGCTCACTGCAACCTCCACCTCCCGGGTTCAAGCGACCCTCCTGCCTTAGCTTCCCAAGTAGCTGGGATTACAGGTGCCCTCCACCACACCTGGCTAATTTTTTGTATTTTTAGTAGAGATGGGGTTTCGTCATGTTGGCCAGGCTGGTCTCCAACTCCTGACCTCAAATGATCTACCTGCCTCGGCCTCCCAAAGTGTTGGAATTACAGGTGTGAGCCACCTCACTCGGCTTTAAACAAAATAAATTTTAAAACAGTTATCCAGCATAGAGGTTTTTGCATTCATTTAAATTAAGAACGACAACAAAAAATGTGGCCAGGGCCGGGCGCAGTGGCTCACACCTGTAATCCCAGCACTTTGGGAGGCTGAGGCGGGCAGATCACGAGGTCAAGATATCAATATCCTCTAATGAGATTAGTTTCTTTTTCTTTTTCCTTTTTGAGACAGGGTCTCCCTTTATTGCCCAGGCTGGAGTGCAGTGGTGTGATCATGACTCACTGCAGCCTCTATCTCTAAGGGTAGACTCATGCCTGTAATCTCAGCACTTTGGGAGGCGAAGTCGAGAGGATCGCTTGAGCTCAGGAGTTCGAGACCAGCCTGGGCAACCTTGCAAGACTCCCATCTCTACAAATAATTTTTTTTTTTTTTTTGAGACGGAGTCTCTCTCTGTCTCCCAGTGCAGTGGCACAATCTCAGCTCACTGTAACCTCCACCTCCCGGGTTCAAGTGATTCTCCTGCCTCAGCCTCCCGAGTAGCTGGGGTTACAGGTGCCCACCATTGCACCTGGCTAATTTTTGTATTTTCAGTAGTGATGGGGTTTCACATCTTGGCCAGGATGGTCTCAAACTCCTCATGATCCAGGTCCTGACTTCATGATCCACCCGCCTTGGCTTCCCAAAGTTCTGGGATTACAGGAGTGAGCTACTGCACCCAGCCATA